AGTAAGGATATATGTAGGGTGACCGTACTTATAACCCATATTAGGGGACTTATAAAGCCACTTAGAACTATACCCATGAATCTCCAAGTGGGAGTTTCCGAAAATAGGGGACCCTAATATAGTACCCAAAATAGTAGGATCCTTATTATAAGGACCCCCAAATAAGGTACCCCCTATTTTCGGAATCTCCAAGTAGGCTTGAGGTGTACACTTCGAGGAGGCCGGGGTCCCTCAGGGTTTCAGCGCTGACCGCATAGAAACAAAAGCGCTTCGGGACTTTGCAGCTCAACAAGCACTACTTGGAGGTTCATGGCTAGTTATAGGTAGGGTTATAAGTAGGGTAGCTATACTTATAACCCCTATTGGGGGACTTATAACCCCACTTATTATAACTACCCATGAACCTCCGAGTAGGACGGGCTTAGCATCTGGGTTAAGAGGCTAAAGACCTGACGTTCTTCCGAATTCGCTCACGAGTGGCGTAAGCATCGTGAAGCCGCCACCGCAGGCCACCACGAAGAGGACGCTGCATATGAGGCTCTTCCTCAGCATCGAAAGCTCACTTCCCCAAGACTTTGGTACCGAGTGGGACGCCATGTTACTTTCTTTTTTATGGAACCCGAGAGCTTAGATCCTAAACCCTACAACAGCACCCTATCATACAGCCCCAGAACAAGCCCTAAACCCTTTCATGCTACCTCAACCCTCAACCCTATGATACAGCACCAGGATAAGCCGTAAACTCTATGATACAGGCCGAGTGCCTGAACCCTATGATAGACCCCCACAATAAGCTCTAAACCCTCAAACCTCATGATACAGCCGCAAGACAAGCCGCCCAGAATGAGCCCAAAACCCTATGATACAGCCCCAGAATAGGGTCTAGACCCCAAGATACCCTAAACCCTATGATAAAGCCACAGACTACACCCTGAACCCTGTAATACAGCCCCAGAAATCGCCATTGCCGGACAAAAAACATAGGTCTGCCCAGCGGAAACACTCAGTTTATTATCCTGCATGCGCGAAGAAAAGCCTGAAAATTGCGATTACCGGAGAGACCTATCAGTTGAGAGTTGAGGGTTTGGAGGGCAGTGTAGAACTGCGAAGCATCCTTCCAAGCCGTTTCTAAAAGGCCTTGAAGCCAACATGCTCAAAAACCCTAAACCCTAAACCCTAAACTCATTCTAAGCCCGAAACCTGAACCCTAAACCCCGAAGCGCCAGACTCAAAGCCTTGGGCCCCGAAAGCCTAAACTCCAAAGCCGAAAACCCAAACCGTGGAGCCCGGCACCCCGGAAGCCCCACCGACTAGGGGCCCCAATAATTAGAATAAGGTTCTGCTTGGGGAGTCGGGGGACTTAGTAAGTAGGTAGTAAGTAGACTTATAAGTACCCTAAATGGGACCCTAATTGGGGTTATGGTACTTATAAGTCCCTAAAATAACCAGTTACTAAGTTCCCCGACCCTCCAAGTGGGCTCCTTCATGGTATGATTCAGTTATAACAAAGGGTTGATGTTTCGACTTCAGTTTAGGAGTTCATGAACTCGCGTTGTAAGCTAATATAGGCACTTAAATAATTACCACTACTATTTTGGTGGCTCCTTGTTATAATATGGTTTTAATATACTGGGCCCCAAAACCCTATTCGGACTACTAAGGCCCTTTGTGAAGGGTTTGGGACTCCTTAAGATTTCGCGTCAACTGCTGCGACATTGTATATACATGCCGGCTGCTTGCGTTTTGTTTGCTGCTGGCTGTGAGGTGGAAGTTGACGTCCGACAAAGGCCTAAATACTCAATGCCATGCCCCCACATCGTGCACCATAAAAAGCGACATCGCCGAGCCACACTGGGTGGGTGCCGACAACTCTGCCCACTTTTTCGAAGAAGCTCTCCAACCTTGGGTGCCGGGACAATCATGGTGATCAATCCTAATGACTGAAACTTACAAGTAACGGGGTCATGATGACAGCGACTTCATCGTCAACCGCACAGCACAGTATCAACATCGACAGCACCGCGATCGCCATGATAGTCTTGATTATCATCCCCTTGGGCCCTAAAAATCCTAAACCCCTAAACCCTAAACCCCCTAAATCCCTAAACTCCCTAAACCCCTAAACCCCAAAATCCTAAACCCTAAACTCCCTAAAACCCTAAACCCCTAAATCCTAAACCCAAAACCCAAAACCCCAAAACCCTAAACCCCTAAACCCTAATGTCATCACCGTCTTTGCCTCTTTGTCATCGAACCCAGCCTTTCCTGGCATGGAGGCCCTAGCCTTCTAACTTCTAAGACAGGGCTCAGAATCATTTGCAAAAGGCCCTGTCCCAGGACCCTCCTTGTACCCTCAAATAGGGGTATATGGTCCCGAATAAGGGGCATTTAGGGTCTAATAGAGGGTAGATGGAGGGTCTAGGTCGGTCTGTTATAGTATAGTTACAATATAACTGTAGTATAAACTGTAGTATAATTATAGTATACTGATCGCATACTGATAGTATACTTATAGTATACTGATAGTACGCGGATAGTATAGTATACTTGTAGTATACTTTATGTATACTTGTAGTGGCTTTATAGGAGAACTTTGCTATAATCATAGCGAAAATAGTAAGGAGGCCTGAGGAATAATTCAAGTTCTCCTTTCGGGTCTATTATACACGGTATAACTGTACTGAGGAACCCTGAGGAAACGTATTGCTAGGTATTCAGGCTAGGATATTGACACAAGACTGAACGAATTTGCCCAGGAACACCCGCTCGATGACTGTCATGCCTGCGAAGAAAATCAAAGAGCGGCTTCCAGAATGTGGAGGCACGACCAAATGGACTTGAGCCGCGAGGTGCCGCCGGCGAGATCAGACTCGCATGATTTCATAAAGCCTAGACCCCAAAGACTTTTGACCCTAAACCTTGCGAATGCTTTTGACAACGGAGTTGAAAGGAGGCAACTAGCTTTGATTTAGGGTCAACGGTTGCTCGGGAATAAGGGTACTAGGGTATTGCTGTGGGTAACGCACCAGGGAATTAAAGAGAAACGCGCCTACTGACACAGCTACTTGAAGAGAAGCCTTAAGTCAGATTCAGAACATGCACATATCAGAAGAAAGTAACGATGCTCATGTATCTATCCTAAGACTCCTCCCCAAAAGGGACCCTTATTTAGAGAACAACCCTTGTACAGGCTGGAGCCAGCGACCGCTGATCTTCTGAGAGAAGCAGAAATCAGATCAAACCGGCACTCGGTGCAGTTTCTTCTCCGCGCACGGTGAACTCTGAAACCCAAACCCTCCTCGACGCTTAAATTTACCTATGGTCTCCACTGTAGTGCCTTTTTTTGGTTTTCGGATCCTATAAGGTAACCTTCAAAGAGGAGCTGCAATGGAGACTGTACGTAAATTGGATCCGGAGGCAGTGTGACGACCTGTACCTTCCAGAGACAGACACTAGAACGCTCTTGCTCATTTCTTTTAGTCGTATGCTGTATTATTGAAAACACTGTCACTGGTGTTATAGTATAGCACAACATGGTAAAATGGAGCATGCTATAGTATATGTAGCATACTACAATGTAAAATAGCATAATGTATGCACAATATTATGTGATGATAGTTATGATCACACCTGCCACCAGAGCATCAACCAGCAATCCCCCGTCATAGCCACCGGCGCGGCGGCGGCATGAGGCATGTACAACTCCTTCGGCGGAGGTACTTCACAGCCAAAAGCCAATGTTAGCTTCTGACGACTATTTTAGCGGTGACGGAGGAGGTGATGCGGATAATTTCCACAATTAATCGTCGCGGTGACATGGTGAAAGCGATGGTGGCGGATCACGATTGCAATGTAAGTCACGGTGATTCGTCCTTGGTTGTTGATTGCTCGGAAAATCCTCTACAGCCAGTCTTGGGGGCGAGGGGTTTGTGCAAGGTGTTGTGAAGTGCATTGTGAAGGGTCCAGTCGAGGCCCCAAAGGGCTTCAAACCATCAGGAGACCCCAAACTGCCAAACTAATTAGACTACCTTCACCTACCAAAACCTACAAAAAAGTCGGGTCCCTATGAATTCCATATTGGGGTTTATAACAGGAACCTACAAAAAAGTCGGTTATGGTGGCTTAAGGTAGACGTGCACAATGCGCAGTGGTTGCGTGTAGCTCGGATCCTGGCGTCGCCAGGCCAAAGACACGACCTCCGGCGCCCTTGTCGACCTGCCCGGGAGTCAGCGGATACTATAAGAGCTTAGAATAGGGTTCCCGGGAGTCAGCAGCTACTATAAGAGCTTAGAATAGGGTTTTGGGGCGCTTAATACTCTAATTATAATAAGGAACCCCCAACATGATGTACGTAATTATGAAGGCCCCTATAGTATTATTGGCTTCCTGCGTCTCCCGACCCATCTCATGCAGTGGATGCAGCAGACGCCCGCTCTCCTTTCGACAACCTGATGCACCGTCACGCCGAAACAGTGAGCGAAACACCAGATACGAGCTTTACAGTATACAAGATTTACCTGAAGTCTCCATTGTGGTTCCTTTTCGGGGATACTTTTATAGGATCCTAATTATATACTTGGATAAACCAAAAGAAAAGAACTACAATGGAGACTAGAGGTGCAGGCAGACATTGGCACCCTTCAGCTCACCAGCTCCAGTCCTTCCCTTGACACCCCAAGCTCCATCCCACGAGCGTACGTGGGAGGGGGCGCGGGCGTGACTATACGGTGATATCGGGGGCGGAGCTGGTGTTCACTGCGGCAGTCTGCCTTGTGTGGGCACCCGCAGTAAGCAGGCGCCACCTCAAGACTTTCATAATTTGCAGCAGGCCGAAAATCCTGTCTGTATAGGGTCAGGAGACCTGGCTAGCATCACGTCGCGACCTGGGGACGCGACAGCTCGCAAAAGTGATTGCCCTCACGCAAAACCAACTAAGCAATGCAAGGAATGAAAAGCAGTCAGATCCTCGGGCTCACATGGCTTGTCTCAGAACCGACTCACTATGGGCCAGGTCGGCAGACGATTCCGCCCCTGCACTCCCTGCGCCCATAGTGGTACCACCAGCCACCTCGACAGTAAGAGCCGTAGCGGCACACCAAAAGGTTCGCAACGGCAGTCGTGCTATTGCTGTTGTCCTGCATGATTGTGGTGAAGTTCGACTCAACGTCGGCGGCGACAACCGCTGACTCAACATTCATGATCTCCTTGTAGCCGGACTTGCAAACGAGTGCTCCACTGCACTTGCGGACGCCGTTGATCCACAACCAAGTGCCGCGGCAAACCACCCCGAAGCGGCAAGAAATCAAATTGCTGAAGCCATGGGATTGGTTCACGGGATCATATGTGGGCTCCAGAGGGCTCATTGCCACCTGTGCACTGTCTTCGCTATTGCGGGCCTCAACCTTGATGCTTGGCAGCGTGGGCTCACTGCTCTCAGAGCTGGCATAGTATGGGCCAGGTCGGCAGACGATTCCGCCCCTGCACTCCCTGCGCCCATAGTGGTACCACCAGCCACCTCGACAGTAAGAGCCGTAGCGGCACACCAAAAGGTTCGCAACGGCAGTCGTGCTATTGCTGTTGTCCTGCATCATTGTGGTGAAGTTCGAGTCAACGTCGGCGGCGACAACCGCTGACTCAACATTCATGATCTCCTTGTAGCCCGACTTGCAAACGAGTGCTCCACTGCACTTGCGGACACCGTTGATCCACAACCAAGTGCCGCGGCAAACCACCCCGAAGCGGCAAGAAATCAAATTGCTGAAGCCATGGGATTGGTTCACGGGATCATATGTGGGCTCCAGAGGGCTCATTGCCACCTGTGCACTGTCTTCGCTATTGCGGGCCTCACCCTTGATGCTTGGCAGCGTGGGCTCACTGCTCTCAGAGCTGGCATAGTATGGGCCAGGTCGGCAGACGATTCCGCCCCTGCACTCCCTGCGCCCATAGTGGTACCACCAGCCACCTCGACAGTAAGAGCCGTAGCGGCACACCAAAAGGTTCGCAACGGCAGTCGTGCTATTGCTGTTGTCCTGCATCATTGTGGTGAAGTTCGAGTCAACGTCGGCGGCGACAACCTCTGACTCAACATTCATGATCTCCTTGTAGCCGGACTTGCAAACGAGTGCTCCACTGCACTTGCGGACACCGTTGATCCACAACCAAGTGCCGCGGCAAACCACCCCGAAGCGGCAAGAAATCAAATTGCTGAAGCCATGGGATTGGTTCACGGGATCATATGTGGGCTCCAGAGGGCTCATTGCCACCTGTGGACTGTCTTCGCTATTGATGTCCTCACCCTTGATGCTTGGCAGCGTGGGCTCACTGCTCTCAGAGCTGGCATAGTATGGGCCAGGTCGGCAGACGATTCCGCCCCTGCACTCCCTGCGCCCATAGTGGTACCACCAGCCACCTCGACAGTAAGAGCCGTAGCGGCACACCAAAAGGTTCGCAACAGCAGTCGTACTATTGCTGTTGTCCTGCATCTCCGAGACACCGTTGCCTCCCGAGCTGGCTTCGGTACCTTCTGTTCGACATGCGAGACTGCCCTCACAAGTGCTCTGGCCGTTCCTCCAAATCTCCGTGCCGTGGCAAAGCACACCGTAGCGGCAAGAGATCAGGTTCTGCACGGCCCACGACTCATTTGCCGGGTCGAAAACTGTTGCTGTCCCTTCCAGGTCAGCCGCAGAATTGTGCAAGGTCCCGCGTAGGCTCTGTCCGTGGACTGCGGCGGGAAGATGACACAATGCTCCCAGAACGAAGAACAGCGACATGCTCTTAGAAGGACAGAGAGTGTTACTGGCTCACTTCTGCAGGCTGTCACGACTGTTGATTCCAAACAGCACCGGAAGAAGTCTGGTAGGCATGTAGACTCTTTAATCTGCGACAACGGCAAGAAGGAATGTGCCACCAATTCTCATGCGATCTTCCACTTATGTAGGCCTTCGCGACAGGAGCAGCGAAGCCTTCCACAGCAGCACCTGGCGAATCAAGGGAAAGACAGATAATTACTTCCCTCTTGGCATGAGAAGCGCACGAAGGCTGCACAAGACCGGAGGTTCATGGTTTCCAACGGATTAGGTGGAGTATCTACTATAAATCTGTAAGGCTACTAACGGCCACTACAGAGCGCAAGGAGACGCATTTCTCAGTTGTGAGGCCAGATCCTGCTATTTAGGGTATTATATTAGGGTCCCCTATTTTCGGAAACTCCCAAACCTAAACCCTAAACCCTTAATAGAACCCTTATAGATCCCTTCCCTTAAAGGGTCCCCTATTTTCGGAAACTCCCATCTGGTTATTCAGACTTCCCTGTGGGCTCAGCCAGGTGAGGCCGATCCTTGTGGCAAGACTTCGAAGCCCTAAGCGCAAAATCATGACCCTCTACTTGGAGGTTCATGGGTAGTGATAAGTGGGGTTATAAGTCCCCTAATGTGCGTTATAAGTTATAAGTATAGTTACCCTACTTCTAACCCTACTTAATTTCCTACTCATGAACCTCCAAGTACTGTAGATGAACCCTCCGGGCCCTCCCTGCAGGCCATAATCTAAACGCCAAAGGCCCTAAGCCCTGTACCCAACCACCTGGACGGAAGCATTCCCAATTTGCCGATTTGCAGCATGTAGCTCCGAATGATGCCACTTTCCGACTTGACGTGCCTTGCTGCACCCCCACGACATCCAAAACGAAACCAGCTGAATGCTGCTATGACACTCAGTACTGATTACGATCATTATTGTTGTTCCTGGTGCTCCACCGCTGCTAAAACTGCTGCTGTTCTCAATCATGCTACAGTTGTTGTCGCCCTTTGTAAGGGTTTCTCTGTTGTTACCAGTTCTGCCCCTCCTGCGCTGATGCCCATGTCACAAGCATCGCCGCTAGCATCATCATGACTGTGCGGGCAAACAAAATCATGGTGGTCGTCATCATCAGAGGCATCATTGTCGTCTCCGTCGCCGTCATCATCACATTAGTCGCAGCAGCAGCAGCAGCAGCAGCAGCAGCAGCAACAGCAACAGCCACAGCAACAGCAACGACAACACCACGACTGCGACTGCAACGACGACGACTACTGGTCACAATGACAGTGACGACTGACATACATGTCGGTACTGATAGTTCTTGGTCAATACAACTAGCGAAAGAGTAAACACCATAGTCCTTCTGCATTTATGCATGGCCTGGCTTCGAAACACCCGAACTTGAAACCCCACACCCTGAGCCTGAGCCTAAACCGTCATGCTACGAAAAACGCAGCATCGGGCCCGCGACATCGCCGGAGTCGACGGCCAGGGCATGCGCCACCGTAGCCCATGCAGCCCATTCCGATTTCGGGGTTTAGGGGTTGGGGGGTTCAGGGGTTTAGCGGTTTAGGGTTGTCGGGTTTGGGGGTTTAGGGGTTTAGGGGCTTAGCGGTTTAGGGATTTAGCGTTTAGGGGGTTTAGGGGTTTAGAGTTCAGGGGTTCGAGCTTTAGGTGTCTAGGTGTTTAGGGTCTAGGGTTTAGGGTTTGGGCATGTGGCTGTCTGCTCGACACCATCGAAGCCCTGAAATCGCTTTCTGTCACGGCTTGGGCAACACTATCGCTTGTTCCACTGCTCTTGCCACTGCCGCTACCACTATGGCGACAACCCCTTTCGCTGATGCTACGACGACCTTTTACCTCGCACCTAGCCAAAAACACCCCCACCACCACCACCACAACCACTACCCCTGTTGTTCTGAGTGCTACATTTGCTACCTACACACTGGCTCCTCGAATGAAAAATGCTATCACCAAGCACGCAGCTGCAGGAGTTTCTCGGGGAGCAGAGGGCGTCTGAAAAATGGCACCAACTTGGCCCAGATTCCGGTTTAGAGGGGTTTAGGGTTTTGGCTAGGATACCCAGTAACCTAAGAATAAAAAGGCCTCTCTTTTTGGTATTGGGTAACTTTATAAGGAACCTAGGACTACAAAAAGGGAATAAGGGTACTACTCAGGAACCTAGTTGGGGTTAGGGTTTCGGGTTTAGGGCTGAGTTGGAGGAACTGATGCCTAACTTTGCATTCTACCGAGATACAGCACCCGGTAAACATGGGAGCGAACCCAAAAAGAACGGATCGACATCTTGGGTCGGTGGACTTGCTCTAAATAGGGGAGGTCTGAGTTCGGGCCCCTTCTTAAACCCTCAGCACTAAGCCCTACACCCTCAACTCTTGGCCCTCAACGTCCCAAGCCCGAAATCCTGAACCCGGAATCCTGAATCGCCACCAAACCCGAAGGGGAAGGAATTGAAAAAAGCGGAAAACCAAATGTAGAAGCAATTATCCGGCGTGGTGGAGACCCTGAGTCTTTCAGGCAACGTAGCGGCTGTATGGGAAAACTACTTAGGGCAGGTTGTAGTATAATCATGTAGGCGCTATGAAGTCGGTGTCTGAAAGTCTTCCACTCCATGCGCAAGATATCCTAAACCAGAAACTATATGATCTATATAACCCTCAACCCTGAACTATATACCCTACACCCTGAACCCTAGACCCTAGAGCCCAAACCGGTGATAACGACCCTCCTGGGCCAGTTAGGATCCTACGCTGCGGCTCTTCGACGGCCCATTTTTCAATCGATGCAGCTCACATCATACTGCACGTGTAGTCCTCGTCCGGGTTGCCTGCTACTCACAAGGGTCGTGTAGGTAAAAGCGGGTGAGGGAGTTGAGAGTTTTGGATTGCCTGTGATAGAGCCGGCCCACCCTCCTTTCCTTCGTCTCTATTCCCCTTCTTCTAGTACTTTCTTCCTTCGTGCCTATGCCTATACTTGCTGCTGCTGTTGATGCTGCTACAGTACTGCTGCTCCTGCCTCTGCTACTGCTGCTACTGCTCATGCTACTGCTACCGTCAATGCTGCTGCTGATGCTGCTGCTACCTGCCGCTGCAAGTGCCACTGCCGCTGTCACTGACACACTGCTACTGCTACTGCTACTGCTGCTGCTGCTGCTACTACCACTACTACTACTACTACTACTACTACTACTACTACTACCACCACTACCACTACCACTACCACTACCACTACCACTACCACTACCACTACCACTACCACTACCACTACTACGACCACGACGACTGCTATAATGACGACCACGACGACTTAGTACTATCGCAGCCACTCGCTTCAGTCAGAGCTAACCTCGGACAGTCAACATTGCAGCCTGAAAGAACCGCGAGAGTTACGAAGCCTACTGACTACCCTAAGCCCACCCTGAACCCTAAACCATATAAACCCTGTAAAGCCTATAAACCCTATGGCCCTATGAATAAGCCCTATAAGCCCTAAACCCGACACCCTAAACCCAATCGAGATTATTACTTCTAGCGCTGATGGGTTTAGCATTCCACAGTGGCTTTTAGCCCCAGAGGCCGAGATGGAGCTTCAGGAAGCTTTGGGATGTGGGCACAATCCGGGCCATACCAGTTGCCAGTTAGGAGTTTAGGGGTTTAGGGTTTAGGGTTTAGAGGTTTAAGGGCTTAGGGGTTTAGGGGTTTAGGGACTAGGGGTTAAGGGGTTTACTGTTTCGGGTTTTGGGCGGTTGCTAGTTATGGTCTAAGTTGGGGGGCGCGTGTTTTCTAAATCTCCACATGCCAAGGAGCCCGATGGTGGATGGTGCGCGGCCGGATCCTGCCAAAACATCGGTCACAACATGTCCAGAGACGTTCAGATGCATGCTGCAAACACATGATGATAAAAAACCACAAATGACTGTGATTCTGATTTGATTACGACGAAGTCGTTGACTATGATGTGAGTGAGGATGATGGAAACTGGTAAGGCGATGGCACTAACGATCAAAATCCAAATGATAACCCTGGTGAGAATAAGGCAGAACAAATGATTGCTTGTGAACACCAGCGCGACATCACACATTCACATGATCACGAACACTGAGCATCATTAAAATACGGGTCAATCTCGTCCCGGAATCGTCGTCATCTTCATGAAAGCAGTGGAAACAAGAAAGATACCATAGAACAAACTCGGAAATATATGCAGAAAACAGGGCTGCGAGATACCCATCAGCATTGTGATCATGGTAGCTGCTTGAACATGAATGCAATGAGCACTTGAGCTGCATTCAGATGCCAACAACAGGCGTGGACGGGCTACGATCCCTCAAGTGCTGCGTTTCCACATGCACAACTGTGCCAGGACGGTGGTGCAGGCTTCATTGTTCCCCAAAAGGGCTCGGCCAACACCGGAAATGCAAACCTTGCCCTCATACGGGAGTTTCCGAAAATAGGGGACCCTGGTATACTACCGTAAGATCCTTGTTACGAGGACCCCAAAATAAGGTACAAGTACCCCCCGATTGTCGGAAACTCCCAAACCCCAAACCCTGAACACCCTAAACCCAAAACCCTAAACACCCTAAACCCAAAACCCTAAACACCCTAAACCCAAAACCCTAAACCCTAAACACCCTAAACCCAAAACCCTAAACCTAAACCCTGTGCTGCGTCGCTGGAACCCCAAGGCCTTTGGCCGCCTTCTGACCGGTTGCAGAGGGTCGTCCCCGAAGAGCCTGGGCTAAATCTAAGGCTTCACATTAGGGATTAGGGGTTCAGGGTAGAGATGATAGAAGTTATAGGTTTAAGGGTTTAGGGCTTAATTAGGGATTGTCAAAGGGGAAAAGGAGGGACCCTAAATAGGGGCCTCTACCCTATAATGGGCTATATAATGTGTATATAATAGCTATATTAAGGGTATATACCTAGGGGTCCTTATTAAGGGTCTCTCCTTT